TCCCTGCCCAGGCCCATCCTGAGCCCAGGAGCTGAGTTTGCGCCTTCCTGGCCAAGCCAGGAGGTGTGGCGTATACGCCGCTGCCCGTTTCAGGATGGGCCTTGCCAGGGAGCAGCGGATACTGCGAAGGCCTTACGGCCGGCGCCGCCGACCCTGAAGACGTCGAAGGGGGAGGAGGAGGAGGAGGAGGAGGAGGAGGAGGAGGAGGAGGAGGCAGAGGAGGCAGAGGAGGTGCTCCCCCCGCCCCCCCCGGGGTATCCGGGTGGAACGACGACGACGATGACGACGACGACGACGACGACGACGACGACGACGACGACGACGACGACGACGACGACGACGACCCACGCAAGATGACGAGACCAGGATACGTCTTCCACACGCCGCCAGGGTCGGCGGGTTTATAGCATTCGTCGCCCTAGCAACGGGGCTACATCGAACTTGGAGTCGGCCTGCCAGCACGTGCCCAATCGGAAATGCATTTTCCCTCGACGGCCTTGGGGGTCCACAGAGAACTTGGGGCACCCAAGGGCAGCCAGGAATCAACGGCAAATTCGCATGGAGATCTAAGACGGCACGACTATGCTGCGACCCCCTGATCCTGGTGATGTTGCTGCTGGCCTCCACTGCGTGGTACTCTCGTCGGGCTGCTGCCTGCTGGAGACACTCTGTCTGTGGACGAGGGCGAATGGAGAGTCGGAGGAGAAGGTAGGCATCGTAGCTAGCGCTGATCGTAGGCCCCAGCCAGCGCGTCCCTTTCCCCCCAGGCTCAGGCATGGTTGATACCAGATGGAATGGCACGACGCACTGGCCGTCACTGGGGGGCTGGCGCAGAGGGTTGGAGGGGCGTGCGGGCATCCCTTTGCAGAGCGCGTGGACCATCTTCGGCCTGGAGGCGGGAGCGGGAGGACGAGGGGGAGGGGGCGGTGGAGAAAAGTGCAGCGCAGGAGGGGGACAATGGGGGACGGATGAGGAAGAGGGGCATGTGATCAAGGGAGGAAAAGCCACCCGGACCGGACAATCGGCGTTTACCAGACGGCCCTGGGCGTTCACTGCACAGCCCTGCCCTGTTCGATTCCTCCTTCGGGCGCGCCTACTAAAGACCTCGCGTGGCGGGGTGGTCATGACTGGGGTGGACCTTTCTGCCCCCCATGTGGAGTTGGAAATAAAGAAGGAGAAGAGAAGGACGATCGGGTGGGGGGAGGAGGAGGGGGATGGGCCCCCTGGGTGGGTGGGGGTGTGGAGGAGGAGAGGAGGAGGGGAGGAGGAGGAGGAGGAGGAGGAAAGAGAGGGGAGGGGGAGGAGAGGGTGGAGAGGGAGGAGGAGAGGGAGGGCAGGAGATGGTGCGGCCTCAGGATCAGGGGAGATGGGAAGGATGGGGGAGGAGGAGGGAGAAGCGGAGGAGGGGCGGAGGAGGTGGTAGGTGGAGGAGGAGGGTGGATTTTCTGCCCTCCATGTGGAGGAGACGGACGATGGGGTGGGGAGCTGGGCGCGCTCGCGCCACGACGACCGGACATCCCACCCCCTTTCCGCCCAGCCCGTTCCATGGCGCGGAGTCCTTGCCTCGGGAGGGAAAAACACACAGACACGATGAAGCGTCGATTCCCCAGAAAAGATGGGGAAATAGGGGAAGCGGGGGGGAAGACCAAAGTCCTAGAAAAATATAGGAAAATATGGGGAATCCTGTTAATGCTGTGTGTGCTTAATTGTGTGTCCCAGGGCTCCTTCATTTCCGCCGACCAGGGTGGCCTGGAGGATCTTGGCCCCGAAAGGGGGCCTCGTCGCGTGGTGCGCACTCTGGAAGGGGGGCCCTCGGCCTCTTCCTCCTCCTCCTCCTCCTCCTCCTCCTCCTCCTCCTCCTCCTTCTCTACTCCTTCTCCCTATCCTCTCTCTCCTCCTTCCCTCCTCTCCTTCTTCTTCCACCTCTCTCCCCTCCTTCCTCCTCCTATCTTCTTCCTTATCCTCCTCCTCCCCCTCCTCCCCTCCTCTATCCTCCCTCCTCCTCCTCCCCCCTTCCCCCTCTCCTCCTCCTCCCCCTCCTCCTCCTCCTCTCCTCCTCCACCTCCCTCTCCTCCTCCTCCTCCTCCTCCTCCTCTTCCTCCTCCTCTTCACGTTGGACCCCATGGAGGCCATGCAATGTGCGGAAGAGGGGGGAGAAGACAGGGGAAGTGGGAGAGCTTCTGCTGGTCCTCCCACTGACCTCTCCTGAGGGGAGGCGGCGAAGGGAGGCTCCCCGTGGTTGGAGCTCCAACTACTGGAGCCCACCAACCACTGACCCCTCCTGGGGGACGGGTAACGAATGGTTCCCTCAGCGCGGCCAAGCGATTAAGAAATACCCAGGGGGGGGGGTCGCAGCGCCCACGGGAAATGGACGATTCAAAGAGCCCCGCTTCGTCGTCGTCGTCGTCGCCGCCGTCGCGGCCGCCATGCCGCAGCCACCGGCCCAGACGACATGTGACCCGTCCCTTCCCATTCGATTTCTTGATCGCTTGATCCTACGATATGGTTCAGTTGCAGGGGCCCTTTGTCCGGCGACGCATGGGGGGAGGGAGAGGGGACGAGGGGGCAGGCAGCGGGGAGCAGGCCGGGCGGGCACGAGGGCAGCGGTCGGCGCCAGGGACCTGCACGGAGTGCACGAGGCCTTCAGAGGGAAGGGTCTAACGCGTAGGCACCTGCGAGATTTGAAGAGCAACAGAAGCACGCGTAAACATAAACTTTCGGAGCTCCGCGCGGATCTCTTGAAACGGCGCTGGACCCCCTTATTTGGCACGAGGAGCGCACCCAGGGGCGGCGCCGAACGCGCCGCCACCCATCCAAGAAATCCGCGCGGAGCTCCGAAAGTGTACGTTGGAGGAAGATCCAATAATAGTGAACACATAGTATGGTTGCGATGTTGTCGTGCTCTTTTGGCTATTGTTAACTTTTGGTTTATGTTTTCTTACAAAATCCGCCTGCAGGAGGACATGCCCGACCTAAGTTTATGCCGTGTTGTTCCTCTAGGGGCGATATCGGGACAGAGCGCTCGAGTGGACAGCATTCGTCGAGGGGCAGGGCGTCCCAAGAGGGCGTCCAAGACGGTATCGGTCGTCATCAGATCGTCTCAAGGTAGCTCCCCGTAGCCTCCGAGTAGACTCAAGATGCCTCTCAGAGTATGTCCCAAGATGGCCCAAGGTTGTCCCAAGATGGCCCCAAGAGCGCCCAAGACAGGCCAAGATGCTCCAAGAAGGCGCGAGTGGTACTGTAGGTTCGCGCCGTGTCAACTGGCGGCGACCCCGCCGCCGGCGTTCAACGTCGAACGCCGCTGGCGGCCCAGAATCGGTCGATGCTGAACGAGCTGACGTTTCGGGAACGGCCGATCGTTCGAGGCCGAACGATCCCCGCGGGTGTCGGGCACCAACGCCGATGTCGTCACGACACGAGCCTGCCGCACCTCAGTGTGTCGCTCGCTGGTCCTGGCCCGCCGCGCCTCGGCGCGGCACGCTGTCCACTCCTGGGTCGCCATCGGCGTCAGCGTCCCGAGCCGTTCCCGGCCTCGCGCCCCGCGGAGCGCAGCGGAGCGCCACCCGCTCGGCAGGGGCACGGCTTGCAGCACGAATCGGCCGTAGCGCGGCCGCGCGCAGCGGGAGGAGGGGGCTCAGCGGGCCCCGGAAACGGCAGGGCCGTTTATTGTTTCACCGTTTCCGAAAAGGTGCCCCTTGAAAACGTCCACGGCAAAAAGAAGGCGACCGGAAACGGCAACAAAAACGGCTCCAGGAGTGGAGCTGGAGCGGGAACCCGCAAAAGAACGGCGACGGAACCGGTAAAAAAACGGCGTCGGAACCGGCAAAACAATTGCAAAACGCAATTGAGAATCTGAGAAGCGGCCGGCGCAATCTGAGAAGCGGCCTCCATCTAAGACGCCTGCCCCCGTCCCCCCAAGGTCAGGCGATCGCAAACACGGATCAAGTCGGGGACGGCAAAGAGGGGGGTGAGGACTCAGGGGGGGTGGATATCATGGCGTGGGCCATGATATTCCCCCAGATTTCATGGCGCCTCTTATTTCATGACGTCCCTGGCCCCCCCCGCTGGACCGCGCACATGCCGCCGGTCATGATTTGCACCCCCCCCTCTTGGACACCCCCCTCTTGGCCGCTCCCGATCAAGGGGGCGTGGATTAGCGGCGGGTCCCGCCTCCATGGGATTTCGCAGACTTCCGCCGCAGAACGAGGCGGCACTGGCCGCATGTTGGGGAGGGCACTTACCCAATCCGTGAATTTGGCGACCGTGCGCCAAATCCATGGATCGTGAATTCATGTCAGCCACGCGCAGAGGGGGGTAGGGGGAGGGGAGGAGACTTCTTAGACGCACATCTTCTTCTTCTTATAATGCGCGGGCCTTATCTATAAATGTAAGGCCAGCGCCTTCTAAGAAGCAGCCTCCTCCTAAGAAGTCTTCCCCCTCCCCGTACCTCCCTGGTGCGCGCCGCCAACCATGTTCGCGCGCCCCCGACAAGTAGCGCGTGTCCGAAGGGGGCGGGGTGCGAGTGGAGCCCGCATGCCCGGGCGGGCGGCGAGGCGGCGCGGCCTCGCCGGGCGGCTGCCTGGCGCTGAAGGACGCAGAGGAATGCCCTCCGAAGGCGGGGGGAGGAGGAGGAGGAGGAGGAGGAGGAGGAGGAGGAGGAGGAGGAGGAGGAGGAGCAGGAGCAGGAGGAGGAGGAGGAGGAGGAGGAGGAGGAGGAGGAGGGGAAGGCTGAGGAGGAGGAGGAGGAGGAGGAGGAGGAGGAGGAGGAGAGCAGAGCAGAGCAGCGCCGATGATCCGATGAAGTCAATCGCCTTGAGACAACCGCACCCTGCAGGCCCACAAGGAAAACAAAAAACGGATCAGGCGTTCGAGAACCGCTTGAGGGGCCCGAGATTCTGTGGGGCCCTGCAGGGGGATACCACTGGCATACAAACGAGACCCCCTTATCGGGAACTCCTAGGGGGCTCGCCTATGCACTCCCTCCACTGAACAGGGCCGAGGGACGGCGACGCATAAACCGACCCCAGCACAACCCCTTTCAGCCCTCCTCAACGCGGCGCGGCACGGCCCAGACGTCCGAGGTCCGCAGGGAACCCGAGAGACGGCCCTCGCCCCAGGAACTCGAAGCCAACCGAAGCTGGCGGGAGGCCTCCGAAAGCCTCTGAAGAGTCTCGGCGCCGAAGGAAGCCTGAATGGGGGGGTCCTAAAGAAAAGTCTAACCTCCAGGGCCCCATCCGAGTACTCGAGGATCGGGGAGAGGGTCCGAGCCTGGAGGGCGAGGAGGGTTTCGTCTGGGAGGCGACCCTGGAGGTACAGCTCAGCGGTGCGGCGTGAGCCATTAACGGATTGCAGCCTGAAGCGAGCTGGTCTACTCAGAGCTCGTCTTCGTCCTTGTCCCTGCCGTCGGGCGCCGCTGCTGGTTTGTCCTTCATCCCCAGCTGCGCCAGCAGCTTCGAAGCCTCGCGTTCCAAGCCGCCTCTCGGCGGCGCCCCAGGGAGAAAGCGCACGGTCTGGTCCTTCTTGTCTGAGCCTGCCGCCATGACCGTCTGCTGAACCGCCTCCATCAGAGAAACTGAGCCGTCGCCCCATGGGTTCGCCTGTTGCGGGATTCCGAGCATGATCTGGAGCTTGAACCTGTCGGGCTTGGAGAGCTTCTTCTTGTCGTACCAGCAGGCTTTGAGGCGGAAGTGGCGGCAGTGGATCGCCAGTGTCTCGAGCGCCGACGGGGCGAGGATGACCTTCCGCCAGTAGTCCTGGAACACCGTCTGCGCTGCCGCTGGAGTCGTGTTGGCCCCATCCGTGCTGCAGGCCCACTTGATGAACGCCTTGAACACGTGCGGCCAGGGGGGGCCGTGCTGGTGGTCCTTGCCGTCGGCCTTGCAGTTCTCGGCGTACGTCTTGCCCGTCTCCTGCAACACCTTGACGAACGGAACCTCTGCCCCGACCATGTACGAGGTGAAGCAGGCGCCAGTCACTTCGGCCAACTCGCGCGCGTTGGTGAGGGCGAGCTTCGTGAGAACCACCAAGAGCGCCGCCAGCGCTCCTCCCTTGCCGTTCTTCTGGTTGGCCTGCGCCTCCTGGCCGAGCTCCGCGAGCAATCGGGCCTGCTTGGCACCCTTGGAGTCGCTGGTCTCCTGGCCCTTGCGTTTCCCGACTGCCCAGCTGGGCTCGTCGAGATCCATCACCTCCAAGCACGAGCGGGAGGTCCTCGAAGTGGATGCGCGTATGGAGGTGAAGAGCAGGCTCGGAGAGAACTTGAGCCTCACATAGGCGGCAACGGAATGGGCCTGTCGACGGAGCGAGCTCGAGAGTCGTGCTGAGCTGAACCCTGCAGAAGCCCGAAGCGAACGAGTCCAGCACGTGGTTGTAAGCCGAGTTGCGAGACTGGAACCTGCTGCCACAAACGAAGCACGAAGCGCCCTGGACAGCCTCAGCCAACAAGGTTTTGTAACCATGAGCGGCCCGAACGTGAACCAGCCACTGACGTTTCGTGAGGAACCATTTGGCGCAGTTCCCGATGGAGCAGCGAAAGCCCTCACCTTGTCCTGCGGGAATCTCAGGTGGTGCCTCTTGATGGGGGCCAGAGGTGCCTGCAGGAGGGATGCTGACCGAGAGCCACGCGGCCCTGACGACTGAGAGGTCCAACTCCGTGAACCAGTCCCGCAAGTCCCCCTCCTCGAGAAACTCCAAAGGGGCTCCTGACCAGGGACGCATATCCTCCTCGGTGTCCGCGGACGTCCTCCGAAGCGCCTCGAAGTCCCTGACGTACTGGATGGCCCAGGGGTTCGCCGTCTCCGTGAGATGGCCCTCGGGTGTAAGGGTTCGGAGGCCTCGCAGTTTCTCGATGTTCATGTCCCCGAAGAGAGGGGCCCACTCGCCTAGATGTCGTGCGGGCTCTCGAGCCCATTGCTGGTACCACCGCAAACGTCTGACACGGAACTCGATTTCGAGAGGAGGGACCCGCCAATACCTCAAGACCGACTCGGAAGAGACCGAACGAGCGTGGCCCCCCTCCCAAGACGTCGCGGCACCCCTCATAGCTTTGCGCCCGAAGAAGACGACCCGCGCCGTGAGCTGGTCAATCTGGTTGGGGGACGGCAAGAAGGCCTCGCAGGCGGAACACGCAGGACCCACAACCCTGGCAAGGAACACAGCGCGGCGCTCGGTGTAGGCGATCCTCCGAGAGTACCAATACTTTCCCATGGAAAAGAAGCCCGCAGAGATGGCCGCCAGGCGGGCCGAAAGCTCGGCCCGAAACGAACAGTTACCCATGACCTGGCCTCCAAGATGTCGGGTTGAATCAGCTGGGACCCCTGCGAGAAGAACTTTTTTTTTTTCCGCCACTTCTCGCCGCCGTGCATGGAGCCCCGTGCCCACGAAAGACAAGAGGCTGACGTTCTTAGCTGGGTTGAGCGCATAGCCGTGACGTCGGAGCTCTGACGAAAGAAGCAAGTCATATGCTCGGGACCAACGCGCGAGCTCCGCGGCCGTAGCCTGGTCAGGCACCACGATCTTCCGAATGGCGTCATCTACATATGAGTGAAAATCCAAGTCAAGAAGAATCTCCTCGCCATCAAAATTGAGCGTGAGCTGGCACCAGGTAGCCGTCTCGGGGCCGAACTCCGCAAACTGTTCCTGCACCTTCGCAAAGACGGTGCTGATGTCCCGAACAAAGACTTTCACCGCCCACGGATCGCCAATGAGAGCCCCGACGCTGGGGCGCACGCAGAGGTCGCCAAACATCACGGCAGCAAAGCGGAAGCGCTGGCGGCCGAAAGAAACTTGGTCGTCCTTCATGATGCTCTGGTTGGCGGCTGCGAGGCTGTCCCAGTTGGTGGACGCGAAGGCGTTGGTAATGTCCTTGAGGTCAGTGACGTGATTGAGGCCGAGAGAGCGCAGCTTCCATGTACACAGCTGCTGGCCCAGGATGGCCGTCTCTCTGCGCCGATGAGGTATACAGCCGTGAGCGAAAAGAGGTTCGTCCTGGAGCTCGCGCGGGTCCATCGCCGTGGCCATGAAGCCCTTGCCGAAGGGGTCGAGGAGGTGAATGACTCTCTTCCAGGTGAGCGCCACGCCTTGGCTCAAATGCCACACGAGCGGGACCTGGCCTGAACGTCGAAGTCTATGGAGGAAGATCACCAAAAAACGCCACGTATGCTCCTGATCGATCTGCGGTGTCTCGTAGCCAACTCCGTGGAAGCGCCTGGACACGCGGCGGTACGGGTGAAGCAGCATCCACCATAGTTCAAGCGGGACCGACCACGGCGGGCAGGCACGACGCTTGGGGGCCCGTCGTAGCCAGGCGCGAAGTTCGCGAAGGCGGTGTTTAGCCCAACACAGGCCCTCCTCGGTCCACGGCGCAATGAACTGCTCCGCCTCCTGGCCAGTGACGTCGTGGTAAACGTAATCCTCAGCCTGCTGGACCCAATCAATGTGAGTGGCTGCCATGCCACCTTCGGAGCCAGCGAAATTTAGGAGCACAGTAACTTGGCGGTGGTCTACCACGACGGCTCAGGCTACGACACGTCCTGGCCCGAGCTGTGCAGGTGAGGCTGGGCCTGCGCCCGGCTCGGCGCGGGCCACGTGCCCATGCGTGCAGTCGTTGGCGCGCTGCCAGGCCGACGGCAGACAGTCGGCAGAGCGGAGTGCTGGGCCTTCCTGCAGGCTCTCCGCCATGTGGGCTGCCTGGTCACGGACTTGGCGGGGCTGGCGCGGGATGTCCGGAGCTGGGATTCTGAGCTGGCATCCTCCCGCGGGGCAGTATGCCGACATCTGGGAGCTTCCGCGTCACGCAAGGGCGCGGGCGGCCCCACGCCTGCTGGTGCCCTGCCCACCTCGACGTGCAGGAGTGCCTCGGTCGTGAAGGCCGACAGCCCTGCGACTTCCACGGCAGCGTGTGGGCCGACTTCTTCGCCAAAGTTGAAGCCATGTCCCACTGGCTGCCGACGATGCTACTGGACCTGTCCAAGGTCACGGTGAGCGACGCCAAGGCAGAGGCTAAGCTGCTCTCTTGGATGATGGCGGCGGTGTGGTCCCTTGTGTATGCATTCAAGGAGCGCGTCCCAGCTCTTCGACGTGCGCCTGTCGTGCCTGTGTCCAGCTGGTCGAGAACATGCACGGGATCGCCAGGGATGGGACTGGCTGTCTTTGCACGAGGTGCACCGTACGTGCCGCCAGCGAGGCCGCGCTCACCAGACTCGAGCGCTCCTCCTGCGAGCCAACGGCGCTCCAGCGCCTCATGGCCCGTGCCAGGCAGAGGCTTTCCTCCTCCTCCTCCTCCTCCTCCTCCTCCTCCTCCTCCTCCTCCTCCTCCTCCTCTGCGAGCGCCTCCCTGCCTTCCTCGTCCTCTGAGGCTATCGCCATCGCCTTTCGAGCTGCCGGCCGCTCCCTGGGACCCGAGGATGACCATCCTGAGCGGCGCGAGACCCTGGACTCCCACCGTGGCGCCTCTGGGGTCTGGGGAGGCCGCCGGGGGCCCCATCCCCGCCAGCCGCCAGTCTGGGGCGGCTGCGGACGCGGCGAGGGCGCCTGGCTCCCGCGCCCTGTGGCCGACATCGCGAGGCGTGGCAGCCCCATTTGGCGACGAGAGGGCTGCGTGTGCTAGCGGTGCGTTGT